TGGCAGAACTAGAAGGACCTACAACTAGAATATACAACTATGTACCGGTGGGGATTTGGGGAGAAAAAGCAAAAAAAAGACAAAGAAGATTGGCAACAGTTGTTAGCTCAGGTGCCAATCTTTAAAAAAATAAATAAATAAAATAAAATCGTCAAAGCCATAGTGAATTGCCACATACCACACTATTCCAAGTGTTAGTCTTAAAATATGATCATAAAAAAATAAAAGCTAAAAAAAACAAACAAAAAAGTACTGGTATCCAGTCTCTGGATCCAGCTGCCAATTTGCAGGAAATACAGAGGACACAAGAACATTTTATACTGTCCGATGAATACACAATCATGAAAATCCAAACTATGGGAAACTCTACAGGTCAAACAGTCTGGGTTCACCAGATAAGTAAAACAGAAAAGGATGGGATAAACAGGGACCTTAAAGATTAAGGGAGACTTAAAAGACATATAAAAACTTTTTTTAGGGGCTGGCCTCGTGGCTGAGGTGGCAGCTCACATGCCACAACGAGAAGGACCCACGACTAAAAAATATATATAACTATGTACTGGGGAGATTTGGGGAGAAAACGCAGAAAAAAAACCCAAAAACTTTTTTAAGGGCAGGACTAAGCTATAGTGTCTAGGGATGCTCATTTGGCTAATAAAACAAAAAAAAATGCAAAGATGTCATTATTACAAAAGTCAGGATAATGGTTCCTTATGAAGGGGGTAAGGGAACTATGATTGAGATGGGGCATATGGAAAAGTTTAACAATAAAAGGTTTTTGTTCTTTTATGTAGTGCTATCAGGAGTGTTCCTCCTGACCCTGACTCTCATAGCTGCACAGGAGGTGGGTTTCTAAAAAAGCCCAAACTAATAGCTTGGGATCTACCCTCAACTCAAGAAGCTAAGCCCATACTAACTTCTAATCTTTAGGTCAAAGGCTGAGGAAATGCCAAAGTATCACAGAAAGGTTCCAAAATGATTCCTGATGGATTTCTACACAAGATAGTATACAGTAAACTCTGGTGGAACAACCATGCCTAAAGATTGCTAGCTAGTCACATAAAACATTATCAACTATGTGTCTTTGGGCAGGTGACAACCTCTCTTTGCTTAAATTTTCTCATCTATAAAATCAAGTTAACAATAGTATTTATATCACAGGGCCATAGTAGAGATTAAATTAGTTTTTTAACATACCTAAAGTGCCTGGAACAGTGCCTGGCATGTAGAAAGCATTACAGCATTGTTAATTATTACTATTTTTACTGGACAGAAAAGCACATGCTTATATTTTGTCAAGTAGGAAATCTGTATACATTTTAATTAGACTATCAAACTGATGGGTCTGTAGAAATGAGTGACACAAAAAAGATCTCTTCCTATCATAATGGATATCTGTTATTTTCACCGCCCAACATCAATTTCCCCCTCTTCTGGTAAGAGCACTCTAGTTTTCCTATGGAATACCTCCCTCTTCCATGGTTTGGGAGGTTGCCCCCTCTCCAAAGAGGAAGATATAGATACATGACCCAGACTGACCACAGTTATTGATTTAAGAATTGGTGTATTACCCAAATAAGTTCAATGTGGCTCAATTCCAAGGCTTTTGTTGTGCTTATTAAGAAGAGTCACCCTCTTTCCACTGGACTTGACACCGTGAGCATTTAAAAGGTGGAGGCTATTAGTGGCTAATCTTGCCAATACCTGGGAAGAGCCTTCCTGAATGCAGTCAATGCTAAGATGGAAAAAGAATTAATCCTGAGGAAATCATTGAGTCTCTGGATCCAGCTAGGCCTGAAGTCAGGACCTACCCTTGGATAGTTCCATTATGTAGGCCAATAAGCTCACTTTTTATTATAATTTGGACAGTTTGAGTTGGATTCTGTCATCTTCACATAAAAAAATTGACAACCCATTTAAAACCCTTCGGATATTTGGAGACAAGAACCATCCCCTCCAAGTGTACAACTTCTCACTTATTCCCATGGAAAATCAGTCCATGATTACAGCCAATCAAAATCTATTTGGATCCAAGGCCCTTCATCCAAAGAACTGGTCACTCAAAAAACTCAAAATGTCATGTGAAACCAGAAGGACTCCTACTTCAATATTTTTAAATGTCTGCCTTTTAGAATTTAACACAATCATCTGCTTTTTAAAATATCCCATCTTAAAATATACCTTGAAGACAAGTGATACTTATAGACGTTGTACCCCTCTCTCCCAAATGGGACAAATAGTTATCCTGACTTAACCAGATCCAGGTGGGTGATTACCACATCGCTCTCTCTAGCTGAAACTGGCTCCCAAGCTCCAGGCCTAAACCTTTGAATATCATACTATCACCTTATACACACAGCAAACGCTCACTGCTGTCCTTTCTGACTCATCTATTTCAGCCAATATCACCACTGTTCTCCCTATTATTTAAACTCAAAATATTAAAATTAGTCATTTTAGCTTTGATTATTGTACTAAGAGCTTCAACATGGATTATCTTATTTAATGGGGTATATATTATAACTTCATATTTTACAGATAAGAAAACTGATGTTAGAGGTCACATAGATAGTGAGTGGCAGAGGCAGAGAAAGATTCAAGCCCATTTTGAGATCCCAGACCCTGTGCTCTTAATCACTGTCCCACATTGCCTTATCTTTGGATCCTTTACCCTGTCTATCCTATAAGTAACCAGATCTTAGGTTTTCTTTTTTTCAGTACTTATTCAACAGTAACTATACAACTACTCTATGCCAGGCACAAAGGATTCAGGAATGAATAAAACAGTCCTGGGCTTCATGGAGCTCACAGTACAGTGGAGAAACTGGATATGAACAAATATGATATAAAATAAGAAATGCTCTTAATAGAGGTATGTATAACGTGCTAAGACAACAGAAGAAGGAAGGCCTAATACTGTCTTGTGTTTTCTAGTATCCAGAAGAAAGCAGGAACCAAGTGGCTTCAACAAACAATTCAGTTTGTTCAACAAATAATTCTATGCAAATATTATACGCAAAGATATCAAGTCTAAGCTCTCACCATCACACATATGAATTACTACTACCTTTATTACCATTTGTTAACTGGGAAACTTGGCGAAATTACTTAACTCCTCTAAATTTCAGTTTCATCATCTGTAAAATGGGGAAAATAGCACCATCTAACACACAAAAAAACTGGAGGACAGGGGCCAGCCTAGTGGCGCAGCAGTTAAGTGCGCATGTTCTGCTTCGGTGGCCTGGGGTTTGCCGGTTTGGATCCCGGGTGCGGACATGGCATGGCTTGGCACGCCATGCTGTGGTAGGCATCCCACATATAAAGTAGGGGAAGATGGGCACGAATGTTAGCTCAGGGCCAGTCTTCCTCAGCAAAAGGAGGAGGATTGACAGCAGATGTTAGCTCAGGGCTAATCTTCCTCAAAAAAGAAAAAAGAAAAACTGGAGGATAAAATGAGATTTACCACAGTCTCTGATACATAGTAAGTATTTTTAGAAATTTTAGTGCTAATTACTCACAAAACACCCATTCATCATGCCATTCCCCATTGCAAAATGTCTACGGGATAATATCAAAACTCTAGCATTTAAAGTTCAAGGACACAAAGGGGACTTTTGGGGTGCTGGGAATGTTCTGTTTCTTGATCTGCATGCTGGCTCCATGGGTACACACAGTTTGTGAAAATTCACTGAGCTCTACACTTATTATACATGCATGGTATATTTATTGTACTTCAGTAAAAAAGCTTTTAAAAAAATCTTCAAACTTTGGCCCTAACCTAACCCCCCCCTCCATTACTCCCTACTTTGGACATTTCATACCCTTCAATATTTCTTGATCCTGTTTACCTTCTGCTACCTGGAACTCCTCTTTCTCTAATCTCGCTTTCCAAACTCTACATCCTTCAAGAGTTAGCTCAAATCCCTCATCCTTAGGAAACAGGAAAAGAAAAGGACACTTTCTTCAGGGTCAGAACTCCAAGGAACGAGATGTACACAGGAAGTACACTTTTCACACATGATTATAACTGTCTCTCTCTCCCACAAGCCTGTGGATCTTTCAGCCCAAACTCTTGTCTCATTGTAAGCGCTGGTATAAAACAATGTTTGAGGAAGGAGGTAAAGAAGAAGAAACAGCGGGAAAAGCTGCACTGCAAGTCCTAGACTGAGAACAGGCGTCTAAACACAGTCACACCCTCTCCTCGCTTAGTCCAGATTAGTCCCCTCACTCGAGCCCCCGACTCACACACCATCCTACACCCCAGAGAGCACCACTTGCGACCCCGGAGCAAATCCCAATCCCCTCCACAAATCCCACTCCACCCACAACGCCCTTTTCTTATCCCGACCCTTCCTCGGACCACGCCCCTCGGCTCAGGACCGGAGTGGGACACACCCCCTCAGATCCCCGCCCCTCGGGCGATGGGGCCCGCAGGGCCCAAATCGCTCGACACGGTCCCACGCCCCCTCCCCTCAGCAGCCCCGCCCTCAGGCCCCGCCCTCTCTGAGCACGCCAGAGCGGTCAGTTCCCTCAGAATCTTGAGTTTGCGGCTACTACCCGCGCCTTCCATTCACGTAAGCCCAGAGAGCACGGGCGGAGCCTAGCCGCCTGCTTGAGCCAGTGACCTCACCTCTCTTCCAAGAGCTCAGTGGGGACACCACCTCCACGCGCTCGGAGATGAACTCGGCCAGACTGGAGCGGAACAAGGCCGCCCGCACGGTCACGGCCACCACCAGCACCAGGGCCAAGGGAGCCGCCATGATAGCTGGGGCGGGCGCGCAGGCCAGGAGGGAAAGGCGAAGCGGAAGAGCCTCGCGACCTGTGCGCCACCCTCTGTAGTTCCAAGCGCCGGCGCGCCTCGCTGCTGTCCCTGGAGCTGCCAGACTAAGGACTACCACTCCCAGTAAGCCTTGCGGCGAAACCAGGCGGAACGACGGAAAGCAAGGCGTCTCAAACTTGTTGCAAAAGGTTGGGTGACGCGTCCTAGATAGCAGGTGAGTTGTAAAAGCGCTCAGGGGCTGAAGTCTTGCTGACATTTGACAAGTGAAGGTAGTTATCTTCCTAGGATTGTGAGCGAGTTTTAAAAAGATGTTAATTTTACTCTTGTGTGTATGTTTTTAATGTTAAGGTATTTCCCTTTTATGTTTTTAAAGTGTTAAATATGTACTCGTTTAATTTGTTCTACAGTTGTTTATTGAACGCCAACTATATTCCAGGCAGTATACTGGGTTCTGAGGGTACATTTTGGAGTAGTAAACAGATTTATTAGCTCGGCGGCCTTGAACAGGTTGCTTAACCCTTCTGTGCCTCAGGTCCCTTATCTGAATATGTGCTTGCTGGTTGTTGGCTCGTACAGGCTCACTAGAAACGATAGAGGAATGCTTAGGAATTTTGCCAGTCGCTTTTAAACGCAGCCATTATCAAAAATTAAATTATTTAAACTTACAATTAAATACGTTATATTAAAAACAAAGTAATAAATACTCAAAGCTCATCATTTCCTAATTATTTTACTACACTTTTATCTGTGCTCTTGAGGTTATTTACCACTGCTATAAGACTATGGCAAAGACTGTATAATGGTGTGCTACTGCCCTTCACTTCTCAAATCGGCTTTCAGTGACGTCAGGTTGGTAGCTTGAAATCCCTCCCCATGGGAATGTTTACACCACAGAAATCAGCAAACACTACAAATCAGGGTTTTGGAGTTTGGAGAGCCCATTGATAAACATTAAGTAGCACGCCACTTCATTAGTTAGTGTATGAAAAGTGCTTATGGTGAGTGCTTAAATATTAGCTATAAAAATTAAATAAATATATAAGGAGATTTCAGATCTGTGAATAAAATGAAACAGGTTGCATGATCAGGAATAACTTGGGGGAAGAGCGGTAGTAACACTGGAGAGGGTGGTCAAGGAAGACTTCAGGAAGAGGTGACATTTGAGCTGAGATTAAAAGATGAGAAACTAACCACAGCTTCCAACCAAAAGGAATAGACTCCGAGTCAGGAAATAGCAGGGTGTGTTTGAGAAAGGAAACAAATATGATCCAAGTGGAGAGAGTAGTAGAAGTTGTGGGTGGAGAGGCAGATAGTGGCTAATCAGGTAGGGACCTGTTCTCCATGGTTGGGGATTTGAGCTTTATTGAAAGTGCAATCCCTGTGCCACTGGAGCATTTTAAGCCAGAAAGTGATGTGGTCAGGTGTTCATTTTTAACAGATCACTATATCCCCAGGAACTATGCTGGGTGTTTGAGAATATTGGAGTGACAAAGTTGCACCCCCTGCCTTTATGGAACTTGGAGAATAGTTGAAGAGATGTGATAGTCTTAAGAATAACACAAATAAAACTAAAATCACAAATCATGGTGAGAGAAGGAAAAAGGGGAGGAGGATGGTAGGAGAATGTGAAAATCAGCTCTGGACCTGATAGCATTCTTGACCAGTGGGAGGGGCAGGTCTCCCTTGGGAGAGAGGATAATGAAGGAATAGAGAGAGGCGCTCTCATCCTTTGAGCTCTGCTCTGCCGAGCACTGTGCCATACTTTTTTTGTTTGTTTGTTTTGAGGAAGATTAGCTCTGAGCTAACATCTGCCGCCAATCCTCTTCTTTTTACTGAGGAAGCCTGGCCCTGAGCTAACGTCCGTGCCCATCTACCTGTACTTTATATGTGGGACGCCTACCACAGCATGGCTTGACGAGCGGTGCCATGTCCACACCCAGGATCCAAACTGGCAAACTCCTGGCCGCGGAAGCGGGACATGCGAACTTAATCGCTGCACCACTAGGCCGGCCTGGAACCTGTATTCTTAATCTCTCCAGTTTATTCTGTTGCTGGTGGTTTAGGAGCCATACTTTGAAAAACATTACCCTGAAGGCATAGGTATCCAGTAGTTTATGCAACAAAAAGACGAAAATAGTAATAATAGCTAGCAAGTATTGAGTGCTTACAATGTGTTAAGTATTATTTTAAGTGCTTTACATGTTTTAGTCTCTCTTAATATATATACTATTACAGGTACTATAATTTCCCCATCACCACATACACATAAAGAAACTGAGGCAGAAACAGATTTAGTAATTTGTCTAAAGTCCCACAGCTAGTAAATGACATAACCAGGATCTGAATGTTAGCTGCAGACATTATGGTTAAGCTGCTCTGCCTGAGAAAATGAGAGGAATTTGGGTTGGGTTGGATTGAGTTGGGTTGGGTTGTTTTGTTGTTGTAGCTAAGAAGGAAGGGTAGAGAACTAAAAGGAGGGAGATAATAAAGGAGCAAGCCAGGTGATTTCTCTCCTGAGAAGCCAGAGATTCCAGATGGTAAGTGGGTTGTCTAGGAGGAAGAAATTGAGGCTCTGAGATATTAAGTAACCGGCTTTAAGCCACAAACCTGGGTAGTTTTTCCTTTAGCATTTATTGAACACCTACCATTGCCACGTCCTGCACTAGGCTGTGGAGATACAGTCTATCCAGCACATTTGTTTTATTCCAAATAGCAAACTGATTCTGGCCATCTTTAACACAAAGGAAACTAACTAGGAGGCTATGAGGGAGCTTACAGCGCCAAAGAGAAGTCTGAGGAACCAGACTTGGAATAGTGATGACCCAGGTCGGCAACAACACAGGGCCTGGGTGGCAGGAACTACCTGTCAAGTCAACCAGGTACCACCGCTGGAATGAGTGAACTCCAGCCAGTTTTTAATGGCCTTGCCTCATGCCATTCAGTAGTCAAAGTTCTTGGAAAGAGCATGAGATTGGTTGAGATGAGGTCCCCTACCTGCCTCTTGGCTGTGTGTAGGGCAGCAAGAGAAGAGGATCTGTGAGTAGTCGGATGATGAATTTACTATGCTTGCCTTAGGGCAGAACACCCTGAAGGCCATTGAGTGAAGTCATTTGAGTGAAGGCAAAGGGTGATTGGATGCTGGATGGGGAAAAAGGGCAAATATCCACTAACAGTGATGAGAAAGATACAGTCCCTCCCATATTGGAGTTTATAGTCTAGCAGGAAGTTACACAAAATAGAAGTGAGCAGACAAATAAAATAGATGTTGTGATTAGCCCTATGAGGGCAACAGACCAGAAGCAATGATAATGAATAATGGAGGATCTACTATAGACTGGATTGGGTAATCAAGTAAAGTCTGTCTGAGGAGGTGATGTTTAAGCTGAGACCTAAAGGATGAGAAGGAGCCAATGATGTAAAGAATTGGCAATGGTGAATGGCGAGTATGGGGAGGGGGTAATTGAGGTTACCATGAACTTGCAGTGAGGGAGGCCAGTGTGGAATGAAGTGAGCAAGAGGTGAGACTTGCAGAAGTAGGCAAGGGTCAAGTGGCCTTTGTAGACCACGATGCAAAGTTGGATTTTTATTCTAAGAGCAATGGGAAGTCCACTAAAGGGTTTCGAGTAGAGTTAGAACATGATCACAATTTAGATTTAAAAAATTCCCCTCTGGCTCCTGGGTGAGTAATGGATTGGAGGAAGCGAGGGTGGCAGCAGGGAGACCAGTCAGCCAGGTGAGAGAAGATGGTGGCTTGGACCAGGGTGGTAGAGAGAAGTGGGTGGATTCAAGAGATATTTTGGAGGTAGCATTGATCAAATGCTTCCTGAATCCCCCTATATCTTGTCCCTGGTACTCAGACCCTGGCTCCTGTAAAGGTCTGATGGACAGTTCTCTGAGACTTTCACTAACAGACATTTGACAGACAGAAACTTAGAGCAACAATCTCAGGTTGACAAGTATACAAAATCTTTAAACACAGCTCAAGGCTTTTTTCCTTCCTGGCTTCCACCATTATGAATGACACAAGTAACCAGCCAGGCAAGGAAGTTCATGACATAGCAACTGTTTCTGCCTAAACAAATAGTCATAGAGGTCCTTCCTTCACCCTGGGAAAGCAACAGTACCTAAGCCAGAAATTCTTGAAAAACTAACCAAAACGTATGAGAATACACCAGATAATTATCTTTGTCTACAGATTTGAACCCACTTTGGCAATGGCAAAACAACAGACTTTTAAAAAATTTACAATTCCTTGGATTATGCAAAGAGAAATCAACCCAAACATAGATTTGCAAGATTTGGCCTGGGTGAGAAGGAAAGAACTCAAGAAAATCAGCAAAAGAAACACGAGAACAGAGTGAAAAAAGTCAGGGTTGCTATAATAGCAAAAAGAAGGATTAAAGATACAGCTTTGGCTTGATCTGTACAGGTTTTTCACCAGAAGACAATAAACTTTTAAAATAAACAGTAACATCTCAACAAATGGGGGTGAGTGGAAGGCAGTGTCATGTAGGGAAAAATAATTAAAGGCATCCTTAAGATTGAAAAAGTAGGAAAGGGCTGATCTAGTTCACTGTACAGATTGGGAAACTATGGCCCAGAGAAGAGCAGTGCCTGGCCCAGGGTCACACAGCAAGTCAGTGGTGGCACTAGACCCAGAAACTAGGTTTGTCATCATCTGTCTCCTACACCAGCTATCTCTTGTTCTTGGGCTGGGTTTCCGGTGAGGCCCACTGGGAGACTCATACCAGCTCCTTCCTCGGCTCTAGGACCCAGATATTGTAAGGACCCAAAAGGAACCAGAGATCTGGCCTTACCTAATGCCTGAGGAAAGGTTTCCGGGACCCTGTGCCTCCAGCTCTCTCAATTTCCTTCCTGTCCCCTACCCACAAAGGCCCACCGTTGCATAAGCCATCCTGTTAGGAAAACAAGACCAAGATGTAAACCAGGCCTACAACCTGAAGGCTAAAGATTGGCTCCCCCTCCCCAGCCTCCTCTCTCTGAACCCTTCTCCCTCCTCCAGAGCCACACCCTCCACAACTATGCCTCCAGAACCCTCATGCCCTCCCCACAAATACACATAAACTTCCCTGCTCTGGAAAAGGAGACAAGTGTAGTGGGCTTTGTTTATTGCTTCCTGGCATTCATTCTCCCCTTCCTAGTAGGACCCTGAATTCTCAGCCATGTGTTTTGGGTGGAGTTTTTTGTTTTTTTTTTTAAGATTTTATTTTTTTCCTTTTTCTCCCCAAAGCCCCCCGGTACATAGTTGTATATTCTTCGTTGTGGGTCCTTCTAGTTGTGGCATGTGGGACGCTGCCTCAGCATGGTTTGATGAGCAGTGCCATGTCCGCGCCCAGGATTCAAATCAACGAAACACTGGGCCGCCTGCAGCGGAGCGCGCGAACTTAACCACTCGGCCACGGGACCAGCCCCTTGAGTGGAATTGACTTCAACCCCATTTCCAGGAATGGGCCCTAAATGGCTTAAATTAATCAATACATTCCAAATCCCTAGCCACGGTGATTGGTTCAGGGATGAGCAAACCAGGTCAATCAGAGCCAACAACACTCAATTCTAGAATTTTGGATTGAGCCATTTGGGGAAATGGGCCTTTCCTTTTCTTTCTACTAGGTTGGAGCTTGGAAGCACCCAGACCTAGGAGCAGCTGGTAGCTTATACGTACAAGACAAGATAAGGCAAGGCCAACGCCAAGGCCTAATTGATTCTATTGGTAAAGATACAATAAGCCACTTTTCAATTTAAGCAGTTTGTTACTTACATAGACAGCAAGAAGAACAAGCCAGCTCCCTGTGATCCTTGTTCCACACACCGAAAAGGATGGCACTGAAACAAAAGGGGCTGAATAATTGCAACACGAGTTGTGGGTACCCTGTTAAAGAGGAGCCAGTTCTAGACTGCAGTAAACAGGTTTTATGTTCTGTAGCTCCATCATGAGTAGGGTGGGGCAGAAAGTCTTTTAATCAGAAACTGGGAAGCAATAAAACTGTCTCATGACAGTCTCCCAGGGGAGATAGGAAGGCAAGTAGAAAATAGCCTCAATGCCTTACAAGCCTCCCATCTTCTCATGTTCTCGGATGATCACAAGGCATTCTGCCAAGGCTCAGATAAGCTTTTCAAACCTTTGCGTGTGTGGCCTGTATGAACGAATATATGCAGAGTCACCAGGGTGCCAAGGCAGAGCTGTTCCCCTACATTGTCATGTGGTCACAAAGAGACAGCCTGTCAAGAATTAAGCCAACTTCCAGGAAGTGTTTTGGGGAAATTAGAAAAGATTGGATCTTAGTTCCATTATTGAAGCCACTAGATCAAGCCTTGCCTGAAGGTAATTATTGCTAAACATTTCAATCAAATTCCTTTTCTAGTTTAATCCAGTTTGAGTTGGGTCTTAGTTACTTGCAACCAAAAGCTCTTAACCAATACAACAGGAGATGGAACTCAGCCTCCCAAAGGACTCTCATATACTTTCGTAGTTTCAATTATTGTTTATATATTGATGACTCTCAGATATTTATTTCCAGCCCAGATTTCTCTTGTTGAGATTCAGACATATGATCAAACTACCTCCTAGACGTCACCACCAGGGATATCCCAAAGTCACGTTAAACTCCAAATGTCTAAAACTCAGCTCATGATCTTCCTTCCAACAACTTACTCTTCCTCCTTAATTGCTTATCCCTGTGAATGGCACCACCAGTCTTTCAGTTGCTCAGCCAAAGACCTGGAAATCAGCCCTAACACCTCCCACTTACTCTTCCCTTGTATACAATCCACTTTCAAGCTTTGACCTAAATATCAGGCAAATCCACCTACTCCTCTGCATCTTCACTGCCACCACCCTGGTCTAAGCCACCAGCATTTCGCACCTACGTGTCTGCTATACTCTCCTGACTGGTCTCCTGCTGCCACCCTCCATTCTCCAACCCGTTCTCCATGCCTGACACCCATTGTTGAATGAATGAATGAATGAACAAATATCATTAACCTCTCACTAAAAACCCTTCATGGCTTTCCTTTGTACTTAGTTTAAGAACCAAAGTCCCTAAGATGGCTCAACAGGACCAGCATGATCTATCCCCTACCTTCCTCCCTAAGATGGCTCAACAGGACCAGCATGATCTATCCCCTACCTTCCTCCCTTCCTTCATCCCCTACTTTTCTGCACTATTTGCACCTGAGGAAGTAAACTATCAATAGTCATTCGCTTGGTACATTCTACTTTGTACGCCCCACCTGCTACCTCCAACAGCACCTGTCCTCACTGGGCAAAGTCCTACTTCTCCTTCAAGGCCCATTCTTAAAATTCCTTTCTTTTCTTTTCTTTCCTTTCCTTTTTTTTTTTTTTTTTTTTTTTTGAGGAAGATTAGCCCTGAGCTAACTGCTGCCAGTCCCCCTCTTTGTGCCGAGGAAGACTGGCCCTGAGCTAACATCTGTGCCCATCTTCCTCTACTTTATATGTGGGATGCCCGCCACAGCATGGCTTGACAAGTGGTGCCATGTCCACACCCACCATCGGAACTGGCAAACCCCAGGCCGCTGAAGTGGAATGTGTGAACTGAACTGCTGTGCCACCGGGCTGGCCCCTAAAATTCCTTTCTTTATGAAGACTTTGATTCCATCAGGGAGTCTGTTCTTTCTCTATGCTCCCCAAACCCTCAGCAGCTGCCTCTAACCTGCACTTAGTAATCTCTATCTGATAATTCTGTTATCTGAAGTTCTTGGGAGTCTGATTCCTCTGTTTGTTGTGTCTACTGAAGCTTACTCATGGTGGATTGTTTCCTTGTGTACTTCATCAGTTGCTTCCTTGTGGATTATTAGCTAATGTTTGGAAGAGCCTTATATATTGGAATTCTGTGTAGCCTACAATGGGGGGATGGGGAGATCCAGAGAGGATTTGCATTTGCTTCTGCTAGGCATCTAAGAGATGGTTTTGGAATAGGTCTCCTTTTATGTTAATTTCTCCGCCCTGTGGGTTCCCAGCTGTGCAGCTGATATAAATACGAACCCAAGACTCGAGGGCAGGCATGTGGTTTCTAATTCTCAGGAGGTAGTTTCTTTTCTCCGCCCAGAGACCGGGTCAAGATGGACGCATATCCTTTTTGTCTCCTTTGCTAGTAGTCAGATGTTTGTTTTTCCCTAGTCTACTGTTTCATTGGGTGTAGCCCTTAAAGGGTCCTAGATTCATCAAGGGTCTCAGTTCCAACCCCTAACTTCATGTAAGCCCAAGCCTTTATCTCCCCAAATGTCTGTTAAAACCCAAAGTGTTGCAGGTTCGGTTGTACCTTTAAAAGGATGTTTGTTGTTTTTATTTCCAGCATTTTCATGTGTTACGTAGCAGGAAGTTCCAGATATTGTCAGAACAGGAAGTCCAACTCAATACTTAGTAGATAAAATTGTCACTGTCTGTTTACTTGTCTATTTTCTTCAGGAGTATCAAGCTCTGGGAGGTCAGGGACTAGGTCTGACTCATCTCTGGGTCAAGACACCAGCCCAAGACCTGGCACACAGTAAATAGTGCATTTCTTGATACCAGACCTTCACTCAAACACCTCTAGTGTTGGCAGACTCACTTTCTCCCAAAGTAGCCTTTCCTTTGGAGAGGGTTGTGTTACCTGGGTGACTGCCTGGCTCCTGGGGGACAGCCTGCCCCTCATTTGTGTTCATCCTTCCCAACACTCAACTTGTCTACTCAGATTCTGCAGAGCGGGGCTCAGGGCCTGGATGATCTCAGTAATAACTGGGACTTTGAGCTTTAATTCAGGAGAAAGTACATGGGTCAATTCTAGGTGTAAACCTAAAGCTCTCATGCACCATTGGTAGAAGTTTGGATGGGCACAATATTTTGAGAGTGCAATTTGACACCATCTATTGAAATTTGAAATATGTATACTTGCAGTTCACTTCTCTGAATCTATTCTATTCATACAAGAATAGTTAGTGTAGCATTGTTTGTGGCACAAAAAATTGAAAACCACCCAAATGTCCATCAATAAGTGATCAACTAAATAAGCTATCTACAGTCATACAATGGGAAATTGTAAGACTTTTTTTTTTTTTTTGGTGAGTAAGATTGGCCCTGAGCTAACATCTGTGCCAACCTTCCTCTGTTTTGTATGTGGGACACTGCCATAGCATGGCTTGATGAGCAATGTGTAGGTCCGTGCCTGGGAGCCGAACCTGCGAACCCCGGGCAGCTGAAGCTAAGTGGAGCGCAGGAACTTAACCGCTATGCCACTGAGCCAGCTCCAGTATTTTTTTTTTTTTTTAGGAAGATTAGCCCTGAGCTAACTGCTGCCAATCCTCCCCTTTTTGCTGAGGAAGACTGGCCCTGAGCTAACATCTGTGCCCATCTTCCTTTGCTTTATATGTGGGATGCGGGCCACAGCATGGCTTGACAAGTGTGCTATGTCTGCACCCAGGATCCAACCATTGAACCCCGGGCTGCCGAAGCGGAACATGCAAACTTAACTGCTGTGCCACTGGGCCGGCCCCTCCAGTTTTTTTTTTTGATGAGGTAGATCTACGTGTATTGGCGTAGGTAGAACTCCAAGTCATATTGTTCAGTGAAAAATGTGAGTCTGCGGGGTGGTGTATATGATATATTTATGTAGAACCAAACAAACCTACAAACAGTATAAATTGGTACATCCTGAAGGCTGTTTGGCAATATCTATCAACTTTAAAAATGCTATTTAAACTTTTAAAATAACCTCAACTGACTAATCTCCACTAATAGATATTCATCTCACAAATAAATTTGCGAAATTATAGATGAAAATATTAATTGCAGCATTGTTTGTAATAATAACATTTTGGACACAGCCTTTCTTTCCCTAGGGGGCTGGATAAATATCATGCATAAATGGGATAAATGCATAAATGGGATACTATGCAAATGTGAAAAAGAATGAGGCTGCTTTCCATACTGATAAGGGTGGTAAGATAAACTGTAGAGTGAAAAAAACAAGGTATAGAACAGTGTCTCTCTGTGAAACGTACATATATGTATATATACATTGGGTTTTAAAGGCTCAGAATATCTCTGGGAGGAATCACAGGAAACTGGAACTGAAGGTGGTCTCCAAGGAGACCAGGTGGCTGGGAACAGGGGAGTGAGGGCCACTTGATTTCCACTGTGGTCCCTATTGAACCTTTGGAATTTTGAACTATCTCCTTGTAATTAAGTAATAGAAATTTTAAAGTATAATTCTAAAACTAGAAGCAAAAAGCCCTGTGAAACAAAACCCTTTCTATATGTATGTACATATGTTGTGTACAAAAAGGAAAGGAGGATACACTCCAAATTAGGGGCAGTTGTGGAAGATCCCTGGGATTGGACAAGGGGTGATCAAGGGTGACGTTGATTTCATTTTGATTGTTTGAATTTTATGTTTGTAATTTTTAAAAAATTAGGAATTTGGGGCTGGCCCGGTGACGCAGCAGCTAAGTTTGCATGTTCCAGTTCGTTGGCCTGGGGCTTGCCAGTTCAGATCCCGGGTACAGACCTATGTGCTGCTTGTCAAGCCATGCTGTGGCAGGAGTCCCATATATAAAGCAGAGGAAGATGGGCACAGATGTTAACTCAGGGCCAGTCTTCCTCAGCAAAAAGAGGAGGATTGGTGGCAGATGTTAGCTCAGGGCTAATCTTCCTCAAAAAAAAAAAAAAAAATTAGGAAGGTTACTTGGATTTTATACAATATTTATGTAAACTGTTGCATCTTTTAAATTATGTTTTAATTTTTAAAAATAGACTTCAGGTGGCTAGAATACAACCACTCCAGGCAAAAGAGTGAGGCTGACCCTCTTCCTTCTGAGAGAAGGATTCATGTCATGCCCTTTGTTCCACCTGCCTTCCCCAAGGACACCCTGGCTCAGAAAGAGGCACCTAGGCTACTCGGGGCATCATTCCAAAGAGCCTCGCCTGTCACCTTTCACCCACTTAGCTCCCTGTCCCCAGTGTTCTGGGCTGAGAACCAGAGCCGATTGACCATGGGGTTGTGTTTCCACAGGGCCTATCAATGTGAGGTCGAGTAGGGCCAGCCCAGGAAAACTGGGTCATCTGCTCCGACCTCCACTTCTCTGTCCTTCCCCTTCAATGCCCCGCCACCCTTTCCCCACCTCCCAATCTGTGTTTCTCTCTCAGTCTATTCAGTGGAGAGAAGTCATCTGAAAAGCCCATTCGACTAGATGTATGGGGATTTAGTGTTCCCCGCTCTTGACTAGTTATATTTGAGGAGGCATCTAAAGGGGCAGTGCTTAACTGTGAGGAAGGACGCGATAATGGTGGAATTTCTAGCACCAGTGAGGATCCTGAGGCAAAAGGGCCTTGCTTTCCCTCATAAGTCATGTTGCTAGGCAATGCCATATAGCACTTAAGAGCTGGATGGGCTTTCAAGCCAGGCTGACAGGATTCATATCCCACTCTTTTACTTAGTAGCCGGCAAACCTTGGGCAGGTAACTCAAACTCTCTGAACCTCAGTTTCCAAACCTACAAGATGGGGATATTACGAGAAGCTCACTTACAGGACCTTTGTGAAGCTGCAATGAGATATTACATGAAAACATAGAAACGTAGAAAGCAATCAATAAATGTTAGCCATGATTACTATTACTTGTACAAATACTTTTTTTTAAAGGAAAGAGCTAAAAAGCTTTGAAGGCCCCTGCAGAAGAAATATTAAATCTGGCAAGTCAATAAGTCACCTGGATATAGAGCAAAGAGGTATTAGTCACCAACTTTCTTTCTTTCTTTCTTTCACCAGCATTCTAATCCAACCCAAGTCAGGAACAGCTGTCATGACAGAAGAAGTTTTTGAGCAAAAGTCTAAGGAAAATGATGTTCTGACCAAAATCTTGACAACTTCATTTGAAAGATGGAAAACATCTGACCTGGGGTTATGAACTGCTGAGCTTGCCTTGCTCACATGAATTGGTCAATGTTGATTTTGTGTATGTAGGTCAGTGGTCACATTGTATTTTCTCAACTAAATTGAGTAAGTATATTTCAATGTTGCCTTTTTTTTCTTCTTAAGGCAACTTTGAGGTATAATGAGTTTTGACAAATATATTCACTCATGTAAACAATCACACAATCCAAATATAGAACATTTCTATCGCTCCAGAGAGTTCCCTCGTTCCCCTCTATAGTCAGTCCTTCCACTCATCCCCAGGCAGCTGTTGATCTGCTGTCAGTGTACATTACTTTTGCCTGTTCTAGAAGTTCACAAAAATGGCATCATATGGCATGTACTCTTTTGCGTCTGCTTGCTTCTGTTCAGCGTGGTATTTTGAGGTTCATCCATATTTGTTGCCGGTATTAGTAGTTTACTCCATTTTTATTGCTGAATAGTAGTCCATTCGATGAATATAACACAATTCTGTTAACTTTATATACTAGATTTTGAGAGAATAAAGGTTGGCTGAGTTTAGACTCTAGAAGGAGAGGGGGAAGAGGTAGGAGCTGGAAATCAAAGCCTCAAGTTCGTGTTCTGTCCTTTCCCTCATGCATTCTGTTACCCTGGGCAAGTCCTTCCCACTCATCCGGGTTTCCGTCTCCTCAAATGTAAACTCAGGGCACTAGATGATCTCTAGATAATCATTCCTTGCAGTTCCATTACAGGGGGAAGGGTTTCTTTCTCTACAAAAGGCACATTTTTTAAGGCTCACAGGTAAGGTTCTGCCCCCAGGAGCTTAGAGTAGACCCAGTGAATTCCTCTGGCAGAAAGGGATGGCAAACTCCACAGAAACCAGATAAGCAAATTGAGAGTAAGCAGGGAGGCCCCTGGCAAGTCCGGGAATTGATCAATAAATATTTACACGCTATTCAGAGCTTCTATCCCTGGATTTTCTGCCAAAAGCTCTTGGTGGTAAACTCTTGGCTGGAATCAAGGGAGTCAGGCCAGGAGGATTTTTATGGAGTAGGAGGGATTCTGAGAAACTCAGAGAGCAGGCCATAGTGAAGGGCTGAGGCTGCCACTCGGCCTAGAGGGTAGGGTGGGTAGAACCAAGGGAAAGGGCAGCAGGAAGAGCTTGATCCAGGGAATGGATCAGAATCTTTCAGAGACACCATTGAGTCCAAACGCTCCCATAACCCAGATAAACCCCAGGGCCCCACATGGCTCAGGCTTAGCACCTTCAATGTCACATTCAAGAACTGTAGTATAAAGGGCAAATTGGAGGAGATCATATATACATATACATACTTGTATATGCAGAGAATATTTATGACAATTCACACAAGAAACTGGTAGCAGCATTTGCCCCTGGGGAGTGGAAATTGATTGGAGGGTACAGGGGATGGAAATGGGAAGGAAACCTATATCCTTTTGTTCTCTGGGATTTTGAATCATATGCATTTTAACCTATTCAAAAATGAATAAAAATGTACTAAATCCAAGAACAATAGTCCAACTCCAAAAACTAATTTAAAATGAATCTAATATTTGTAACTCTTGAAAAACATCAAAGGGTCTCTAATCCATGTCAACACTCTTTAGAATCTCCTTTGTTCTCACTAATCCTTTCACGCCCCACTGCTGCCTCTCAGTGTCCCTCACTCACCAAACTTGTCACTGTCCATCAAAAACTGTCCCTAGGGGCCAGCCTGGTGGCGCAGTAGTTAAGTGCACACGTTCCACTTCGGCAGCCTGGGGTTCGCCACTTCAGATCCTGGGTGGGGACATGGCACCATTTGGCAAGTCATGCTGTGGTAGGCGTCCCACATACAAAGTAGAGGAAGATGGGCACGGATGTTAGCTCAGGGCCAGTCTTCCTCAGGAAAAAGAGGAGGATTGGCAACGGATGTTAGCTCAGGCTAACCTTCTCAAAAAACAACAACAAAATACTGTCCCTCTAGGCCTTTTCCCCCAAGCCTAGCTTTTTTTCTTTCCTTCCCTCTTTCCTCTCACCTCTCCATCCTGTCTCTGTCACCCTGTTATCCAAGTTCTATATCTCCAAAGCCTAGAAAGCAGTCAGACAAGACAAAGTTCTCCTTAGAAAAGCTCTCCTTAGGGGCAGAAAAAAGGTGAGCAGGCAAAGGAGTCGCCATCATGCCCCCATTGTATAGACAGAGAAACAGAGGCCCACGGAGGGACATAGTCACATAGCAAGTCAGAAGCAGAGCCAAGGCAAGGGTGCAGGGCTCCTGATTTGAAATCATATTTCAGGCCTTTCAACCCCTTTGCCCCAAGCTTCTATTCATCCTTCCAAGCCTAGCTAAGGTGTCTTCTCTTCCAGGAAGCCTTCCTTGAATCTTTTTTTGTGGAGGGAGAGGTTACTTCTTCCCAAAGAGATCTTGGAGAGCTTCCTGGAGGAAGTGCTATCCCTCGACTTCAACTATATGACTTTGGCAAAAGAAAAAATGATATTTCCCAGTTATAACACTATTTACTATGCTTCACAGAACTATTTGCCCTAAGACAAAATGTACTACAGTATGTTAGTAACTCAAGCTGCCTCAATTTTCATGCAAGAAACTTTCTTTGACATGTGTGTAGTAGTTTTCCATTGCTGTGTAATAAACCTCCACAAACTTAGGTGCTCAAGATATACCATTTATTAGCTCACAGTTCTATAAATCAGAAGTCCAGGCACAGCTCCTCTGGGTTCTTTGCTCAGGGACCCACAAGGCTGAAATCAAGGTGTTGGCCAGCTGTGTCCTCATCTGGAGACTCAACCTGGGAAAGATTGGCTTCCAGGCTCCCTCAGGTTGTTGGCAGAATTCATTTTCTTGCGGCCATATTACTGAGATCCCCATTTTCTTGTTCTCTGTCGGTCAGGGAGCACTTTCAGCTGCTGCTGCTGCTGCTTTTTTTTTTTGCTGAGGAAGATTTGCCCTGAGCTAACAACTGCTGCCAATCTTCCTCTTCTTTTGCTTGAGGAAGATTAGCCCTGAGCTAACATCTGTGCCAATCTTCCTCTATTTTGTATGTGGGTCACCACCACAGCATGGCTGACAAGTGGTGTAGGTCTGCACCCAGTATAGAAACCTGCGAACCTGGGCCACCAAAGCAGAGCATGCCGAACTTAACCACTGCGCCACAGGGCCGGCCCCACACACTTAGCTTCTAGAGGCCCTCCTTGGGTCCTTGCCATGTGGCCATCTGCACAACATGGCAGTTTGTCCCTTTAAGGCCAACATGGGAATGCCTGCTGCTCCAGAAAATGATTTAATGTTGGGTAAAAATGCTGTACATTTTTCACACATAGGCTTTATCATTTTTATGCTATTTATTATTGACATACAATATTTATTATGCACATACAATATTTCTATACAGTTGAATATATAGAAACGTGCACAGACACTTAATAGCACTGTGATCTTGAGCCTCAGCAACCTGAGCCTCAATTGCCTCATCTGTAAAATGGGGATAACAACAATGTCCATCTTGGAGAGTTACAGGCACATCATAAATGCTCAATAAATATAAGCTGCTGATTATATTAGTCCTGAAGACTAGAGAGGGTCTAGACACAGGGAGATTAAGTGAGTGAAGGATGGGGTTCCCTAGGAGGAAGAAAGTACAAGAGCAAAATCCTGGAAGCAGGAAAGCTGGTGGTGGTTTGGAGTGTGATCATTGGTAGAGGGGGTGTGTGTGTTGACAGAGAATGCCAAAAGCTTGGGTGGGGGCAGCTTCAAGCACAGCACTTACTGAATGCTTACTGTGTACCAGGTACATGAGAGGGGGCCTGGCCAGTAGTAGTATTTTCAGCCTGAAGGTGGTGGGGAGCCAAGGAAGAGCAGAGATCAGGAAAGGGCAGCGGTCTGAGCTTCAGGGAGTCCATTTGCGCTACAACAGTGGCTGGTCCAGCACGAGGGAAACTCACTGTCCACGCTCTCCTCTCCAGTCTCAAAGCTTGAGGGATGCAACCATTTTCCTTTAAAAGTTCGAAACGTGGGGATTCATGCAGGACACTCACAGCAGAGCAGCTCACTCGGGTACTTGTTCATACTCACAAACATACCCACATGTTTATCACATGGAGCCCCAAAGTCACCACCCCACCCTCACACCATGGGCAAATGGACTAAAACTAAGCTAGGCATTTGGCTTCCTGCACTCATCTCCTCTTCCTGAAATGAATCCTGTCCTGACCATCACCTCCTCATGGTCAGGGGCATTAAGCACAGTTCACCCAAACAAACTCGGATGCCTGGAGGTTGGGGCTGGAGGTACTATTTAGGAAGCACAGAACCAGCCATTTTGCAGATAGGGAAACTGAGGCTCAGACAAAGAAAGTGACTTGCCCAGGGCCAGGCAGTGAGGCCAGGATTGATAGAACCAGGATTGAAATCTGGATTTACTGACAGTCAGACAAGGGTCTCTTTCATGGTGTATACGCATGCCCCCCAACCCCCACCCCCACCGTTATCCTCAATTCAGGCATCTCTGGGTTGAACAACAAAGCTTTTTGAATAGGAATTCAGGAGCTATGGCCCCTTGTTAATGTATAAACCCATCTCTTGGGGGAATTTGGGGATCGTGTCTGCCCTAGTTGGCTTTACCAATGAAATTTCTTCCCCTCTCTGTCTCAGTTTCTTCATCAATAAAATGGGAAGAATAATATTACCTACTACATACATTATGGGATTGTTGTGAAGACTAAATGAGTTATCAACACAGGTAAGCACTTAGAATAGTACCTGGCATATAGAAATCTCAATAGTTTCTTCACTAAAATTATTTGTTTAACTCTAGATCTAGGGCTAGTGGGGGGTAGGAGGAGAGCTCTGCTTCCAGAGTGATCAGAACTTGCTGGTTTTGACTCAGATTCCAAGCTACCCACTGGGCTTCATCTCAGCCTTGCCCTCTAGCTTAGGGGCTAAAGGGGAGGGGGGGGTGGTGAGACAGTTCTCCAGCAGGTTCATACCTTCAAGTACACGGAAGGCCTGTGAGGGACACACCCAGGCTGACACATCTTTACCCTTTGAAGTGGGGGGCCCCAAGTCATCGGGGAGCCCCCAGGGTTTGGTGAGGCCAAGCCCAAGTCCCAGACAGGAATAGAAGGGTGACCTCTTGACCTCCAATCCTGGGAGCCATAAAATTGGGCAAGTGCTTACATCTGGGCAGGGATTGGATGGATTAACCCCATGGATGTGAGCTCATGAGCACATGGGTGTATATTTGTACATGGATGCCTTCATGTGTATGCATAGATGTCCATGCATATCCATGTGTGTACATAGGAGTGGCATCCTATGTCTGATTGGAAATGGGATTCTAGGATTACCCCCAGTATGGTGCCCACTGCCCCTTTTTACAGCCCCCAGGTCCAGGCCAAGGTCCCAGAATACTAAGCCCGCTCCCCAGGACCAGGGTCAGTAGATGGCTCTGCTACTCTATAATCCTAAGCACGTACCTTGACCTCCCTCTGCCTCAGTTTCTCTACCTATAAAGTGAGGAGTTTGGATGAATTGAGGTCTAGGTCTTCTCCAGCCCTGATAATAAATCTCTGCAGTGTAGAGGGATGGGTCCCCAGGGTTTCAGGAAGGGACTCCACTGGGCTCCAGCCCCCTACTTCCATAGGTACCTCTGACTCTACAGAGAAATGGAAGACTGGGATCTGACCTAGCAGTCTGTACATGGGGTTCAGCTAAGGCTGGGAGCAGAATCCAGGTCATTTAGGGTATCAGAGTTTATGTCAGGAGCCCCCATCCCTGGGCTCAGGGAACCAGAACTCTATGTCCAATAAAAAACCTCCTGTCCCAGGATAGAGGGTCCAGCTGTCAACTCTTGTACAAGCCAACCTTCTTGAGCTGTAACTGCTGATTTGATTAGAGTCTACTCGCTATCAGGCCCAGCAGGCTGGGTGGGGGAGTATATGGACAAAGATTCTGCCCTTGGGATGCCAACTATCCACTTGGGAAGACACATACACACCCACAATTGGTCATCTTCATTTACTGTTTATTGAATAAATAAATGACTGTCCATCAAGATAGCTCTGGACACATGGCTGGGGACAGGGAAGGCTACCTAGAAGAAGGGGTGAGTAGAATCTTGAAGACAGGAAAGATCTGAATTCACAAAGGCCTGAAGAGGGCTTTCCAGGCGGGGGAAAGAGCTTGAGCAAAAGTGTGGATGTGGGAGAGTGTTGAAGGGGCAAAGAGGAGTTTGACCTTAGCACAAGGTGCATGTGGGAGAAGAAGGGAAGATGAAACTGGAGAGAACTGGGGCTGCGTCATGGAAGGCCATGAATGCTGTGTGAGGAGTGTGGTACTTTGGGAGACACAGAAGGTTTTAAGCAGACAAGTGGTGTGACAGGAGAGGTGTATTAATGATTATACAGTTAAGTCAGCAAAGAGGTCAAGAGAGGGTAGCAGGAAGCAAATGTGATGGGCATAGGCTCAGGGTTGCATGAAATGAGGACACTTTAGGGACACCATTCCAAAACACTGCTCTCTCCTCCCCCGAGCAGCCTCTGGATATTATTTCCCGTCTCCTTCTCCTAGCTGCTAGGGCTGAGGAGTCCCTCTGGGGTTTCAGACTAGGCTGGGACAGGATTTTGTCACCAAAGCATGAAGCTCTGGCCTACCTCACTCCCTGTCTCCTGTTGGGCCAGATGGGCAGTTCTCAGACCCACCCTCACCAGTCCTGCTGTACTGAGACAGGACTCAGAACCTCTGAGATTCTGAGGATGTATATTTGTGGCCTCTCCCTGGGCATTTCCCAGGCCACTGGGGGAGCTGGGGGTTTAGAGCATGGGATTGGCAGAATCCTGACAGCAGAGTGTTTGAAAGAAGCTCTAGAAGGAAGCTTGGATATGTTAAGTTTGACAGAAAAGGAAATTGAGGCCCAGAGAGGTAAGACGACTTTCTTGAGGTCACATAGCAAGTTTGGGGCAGTCAGGACTGGGCCCAGGTCCCCCTGGGGGTGCTGAAGCACTCTGGGATTTAGGCAATCTGGTGCATGTAGAGTAGAGAGGGCTGGGGCCAGGAACTATGGGTTCAAATCCTGGCTCTGCCATTTACTATAGCTTTGTGACATTAGGAAGTCACTTAGGCTCTCTGAGTCTGTTTCCTTAACTGGAAAATGGAGATAATACTCACTTTTGGGGGTTGTTGTGAAGATCAAGACACATAAAACATGGGGCCGGCCTGTGGCTGAGTGGTTAAGTTGGTGCACACCACTTGGGCAGACTGGGGTTTCGCTGGTTTGGATCCTGGGCACCGGCACAGCACCGCTCATCAGGCCATGCTGAGGTGGCGTCCCACATAGCACAGCCAGAAGGACCTAGATCTAGAATATACAACTATGTACTGGGGGCTTTGGGAAGAAGAAGAAGAGAAAAAAAGGAAGATTGGCAACACATGTTAGCTCAGGTGCCAATCTTTAAAAAAAAAACCAACCACATATAAAGTGCTATAGCACAGTGTCTGGTACTGGGTAACTTCAATAAATGTCCGTTAGTGGTCTGGCTGCGGCAATAGTAGGTACTCAATAAATGTTGAATGCATTATTGAATATGAATCCACATACTAACAGTGAGATTTGTGATCCTCAGTTTCCCCGTGTGAAAATCGAGACTAATAACTGATCCCTGTCCTGTCACTTTTCTGTCCAGCCCCGGTAGCAACGTGGATCAAATAAGGTGTGTAAATATTCCAGTACAGAACGGTCTCTAGGTCAATGTTTATTCAGCCCAAAGCAATTCCTCTCCACGTCCTACTCTGCAAAATTTCCCGTCAGCCTAACCAACTCTACATATCCAGGTGCTCCCGCGGAACCAGGAAAAAGGGATGTCGCTCACCTCTCAAGTCTGCCTAGCTAAGGAAAAATAGGGTGGGAAAGCAGAGAACGTGTTGGGGGTGAGGAGGTGAGAGAGAAAAAGGAGGGAGAGCAGGGAGAAAGGAGGTGCGTGGACGTGGTGTGGAGTTGAGAAAAGGGTACAGACTGGGGTACTTGGATATAGGATGACGGTGAAAGGATATGGGGGGACAGTGGGAGAGGTGAGGGAGCTGGGATATGTGGAGGGAGTGCAGGAAGATGGGGATCCCGTGGGAAGGAGTGGGGACGCTCCTCACTGAGAGGTCTGGGGGTCGCCCTGGGGCAGGGGGTCCAAGCTCCCAGCAGTCGCCTCTCGCGGCGGTCCCCGGAGGCTCGGAGCCGGGCTCCGGGGCAGGAGCCACTAGCCGGCGAACCGTGGATGGGGCAGGGAGGGGGGATCCGCAGCCTGGGATTGGCCGCCGCTCCGCCGGCCGGTGACGCGGGGCGGGCGGGCCCCTTTGTGACGTCACAATCAGCTGTTTGAACGTTCCAATTTGTGCAGTGAGCCCAGCAGCAGCCGCTGCACAGACTCAAAGCCCGGCGGGCGAGCGCAGCAGCCCGGAGCGTCCGGCCCGCAGCCCCGCCGCCTCCCCGCCCAGCCCCCGCGATGCGCCCCGGCCTGTGATCAGCCGCCGATCCTGGGACGCTCCGCCGCACAACTACCTCAGCGCCACCCTTCCCGCCGCCCCGCCCTCGCCCTCGCCCCCAGGTGAGTCCGGAGCAGCTCCGGCCGGGGGGGGGCTCCCCGCGCCCCGGGACACGCCCCGCGCCCCCTGCTCCCGGGTCTTTGTCTGTTTTTGCCGGCGGCCGCCGAGGCTGCGTTCGGGTCTCCCGATTGGCTGCCGCACGCCGGTAGACCATGACGTCTCCCTATTTGCATATGACATTGAGACGTCACCAAGGCCGGCACCGCCTTCCTTCCCCCCTCCCCGCTCGGGTCGCTTGTCCTCCGGTGACCCGGTGGGCGCTGGGTCGGGGCTGGGCCCTTGGGTGAGGGACGCTGAAAGGCAGCGGGACTGGAGGGGCCTTGGCAGTTTCCTTGGCTACTTCAGCGGCTGGGGCAGGTCTCTGATCCCCTGGTTTCTCCTTGCGACTTGAGAGGGGTTCGGGCGGCGCTGCTGGGTCTAGGTTGAGGGGGTTGTCCCGAGTTCAGGGGCGGCTTGGAGCTTCAGCTCCGAGGTCTTTGGGGGAGCGCCAGATGGTGGTGGAATCCCCTTCCTCGGGCTCCCGGCTCTGCACCGCCGGGACTAACATAATAACATCCTCCTAATCCCTGACATGTGTGCAGCGCCTTAGCTAATATCACTCCCAGCCCCAAAAGGAGGAGTCTTAGACCTCATTTCATGGAAGGGGAAACTGAGGCCCAGAGAGAAGTGGCTTACTCGAGGTCATGCATCCAATTAGAGTTATAACTACTGAGTGAGTGACAGATGCATTAGCCACAGGCACATACCTACTAGGAGCTCAACACTAGTAACAAGTTACAAATCCTTGTCCACTGGGGACTCTACTTTGGGCTCAACATCATCCAAATTTGATAGGGCTGGTAGGTCTCCTCACTCCTGGATCTTTTTCCAGGTCTGGAGACTGGGTCCCCTTTTGTGGCCCTGATCCTAACTCTGTACCTTGGAGTCCCAGAGCCCAATAAAATTGCTGCCTCCCAGCTGTTTTGACCACAGGAAGGTGAGTCACTGGTTGCATCAGGGTGTCTCCAGGGCTGATGTAGGAGTGGGGTGGGAGGTACAAGTTCCCTTCTGTTTGGCTGTTCATCACCTCCCTGACCCCCAGGGTTGTCAGCTAGGAAGGACTGAACTGGCCTAGTGATGGTGTTTACAAGGCTTGTGCTGCCCCTCTCTCTGCTCACAGAGGGCCCAGAGAAGGAGTAGGAGAAAGAGAGCTTCTGACTTCCCCAGTGGATGGGCCCAGAGGCTAGACGAGGAGCCCCATCCCAGCCTGGGTTTTGCTCAAAGATGGGTTGAGGTAGTGGTGGCTTGGGGCTCAAGTGCTATTCCGGGCACGACTGCTGTAGTTATTAAAGGGAATGGTTCTCCCTGGAGCAGAGCTGGGAATGTGAGAACCAGGAAGCTGGCAGGGCTGGGAAAGAAAATCTGAGAGGCTCCCCCAGTGGTCATGAGTGGGCAGGCCCTGGCTGGCTGGTGCTGCTGTTACTCCTGGCTCTGTGGATGACTTGCTGTGTGACCTCAGGCAGGAAGCTTCCCCCCACTGAGCCTCCCTTACCTCAATCTGTAATTTGAGGAGGCCTGGAGAGGCTCTGGCACACAGTGGGTACTCTGGTAAGTGCATTATGAATCTTGGTGCCAGGAACCCCAGACCCTTTATAAAAGGGGTGGGCAGAGGGGCTCTGTGGGGGGGTCAGTAACTTGATCAAGGTCTGATTGCTGTCTGACCTCCTTATCTCCCCTGCATCATTATATTTTGGGGGATTGTTTGCTGAGGCTTTCCTGACTGTGTACACTCAGGACTGGATTCTCAGTGACCTGGGGCTAGGCCTGCTCTGCCACCATCTAGCTGTTTGTCTTTGGACAGACTTATATCCTCTGATCTGAAGTTGTAAAGTGGGCCGGGTGAATATCATGGTCCCTGAAAACAGCTCTTGACTTCCCTTTCATCTTCTCAATGAAGTAGTAGGTCCGTGGAAGGAGGCTGTGCCTCAACAAGTCCTCAAACTTCCCTTCCTTCAGGAGAGGCCAAGCTTGCTGGATTTTTGGTAACTGAGTCACTAACTCCTGTGGCTACAGATGGGTTGGGATGTGTGGCATGTGCTGGGCAGGCACTAGTTGGGGGTGGCCCAAACTTCCCTAATCCCTGTAGATCTGCCACCAGGGCCAGCACCGTGGGAGTGCTTCCTTCTGGAGTCCACTGTGGTTCTGCAAGTGTGGAAATACTCTCAGGGTATGGAGGTTAGGTGATTCTGTGTCAAGTGTGAAAACATTCCCAGGGAATGAGAGAGGTAGCAATGAGCATAGAAATACCTGAGGTGGGTTAGCATTAAGAGTAGAATGCCTCCAGGGAATGGAAGTGTGGACAAGCCCCCCAGGAGTTCTATAGGAAGGGTGGAAACATCCCTAGAGGAAGGTGACAAGGGGCTCAGTAGCAAAACTGTCAATCATCTTCAGGGGACAGATGTGGAGGGCCAAGCTTTAGGGACATCCAGGGGGTCTGGCCAGGAGCTCCTAGCCCAGGTCTAGTCCTGTGCTAGGCTGTGAGGTGGGGAGAGGGGCAGATCGAGAGCCACCTTCTTAGTGTCTCCATGGAGCAGGGGGTCTCCTTACTCATCTTCACCCAGGGAAGGGCTGATTGAGGGTTTAAGTCCTGGTCCAACCCTCAGTGCTCATCCTTAAGGGCTCCTAGGGTCTGATAGCTCCCTCCCTCCCTCATCACCTCCCACTGACCTGCTGTCTCCCTGGGGCCAGGCAACCTGATCCTCCTCCCAGCCAGGATGCTGCCCTTGAGCAGGAGTTTACGACTAGGGGGGCAGAGGGGGAAGGGCCTGTGGGAATAGGATCTTTGAACTTTGTCTGTCAGACATGACTGAGGGCTTTGCGATCACATGGTGAGACGGTAGCAGTTCTGTGGGATTTCTGCTAGGCAGCACTTTTCAAACCACCCAGGCTCGAGTAGTGGTTCTAATCTCTGGGGTCAAGGACTGCTGTTTAGGAAATCATGATGAAAACCATGGTCCTTCTTTGCATAACAATACACAGGGACAATGGCCTCTCGCCACCAGGTTAAAAATGCCTAATCCAGACAGACATCCAGCTATGGATTATAGTGGTTATGGCTGCTGCCTCTAGAATCTGACTGCATGGGTTCAAATCCTACCTCTGTATCTTACTAGCTGTGAGACTTTGGGCAAGTTACCTTACCTCTCTGAGACTCAGTTTCTTTATCTGTAAAAGAGAGATAATAATTATACTCACTTCCTAGAGTTGTTGTGAGGATTACATGGGGTAATATAGGTAAAGCGATTAGTATAGTACCTGGCACATGAATGTTCGCTGTATTATGATAATGATGATAAATAATCACAATATTGGGCAATTTCTTTCTTGCTTGGATAACTCCTATTTACCCTTCAAGGTCCAGCTTGGATGCCCAATCCTCTGGAAACCTTCCCTGACAGAGTCTGGTCATATATATCACTCCTTCCATGTCCCTAGAGCATGGAATAATATTAATAACTAGTTGATTAGTTTACTGACTTCTTACTCTGAGTCCAGGTACTATTCTAAGCACTTTGTGTTTAGCTTATTTAATTCTTATAAGGACCCAGAGGAGGGTACCATTATCATTGCCATGTGACAGACGAGAAATCTAAAGCACAGATAAGTTAAATAACTTCCTAAGGCCACATAGAAAACAGAAAAGCCTGAGGGCAGGCTTAGCTACCAGAAAGTGCATAGGTGGCAAAGCGTCCCCACACGTCCCTGCTGTACTCTTGTCACTGCTCTGGGGGCTGGGGGTGGTATCCGGAAGTCAGGAGTGGGGGTAAACTTCAGTCAGTGGTGGCCCTGACTACTCTCTACACCTCCCAGGTTTCTGCACTGCCATAGGGCGCCCCCCTGAGGCCGCTTCACTTCCCCACCATGTTCCAGCGCCTCACTAGCCTTTTCTTCAGCAACCCCCAGCCCACTGAGGACCCTGACTGCCCCGGAGCCTTCGTCTCCGAGGAGGATGAAGTGGATGGCTGGCTCATCATTGACTTGCCGGGTGAGGCCTGAGTCAGGGACCAGGACTCTGACTCCTGGGTCTGTGAAGTAAGGGCAGGTGGCCGAGCAGCAAAGGGGAAGGGAGCTGCTTGGGGATTGGGGAGTTCCCTCAGGCCTACTGGGCAATCTGGGGCTGAGGCAGTGACACTGGAGGTGGGGTAACAGGGTCCCATCCCATGCAAGCCGGGGGATCTCTGGGCGGCACAGTGTTGGGACCCACACTTCACGTACCCTCGGGAAGCAGGTCGAGACTCCTGGCCTGTGGGTGCCCCTTGGGCGCAGCGGGCAGAGCAGCGGGTCTGACTAACGATACTCTTTCTCTCCCCGCCCCCCTGTGTCCGGTGTGTGTGTGTCCCTCCCCGCTGCACCCCCTCCTCCATATGGCTCCCCCTCCCGCACTCCATAGACAGCTACGCGGCTCCACCCAGCCCTGGGGCCGCCCCTGCCCCCGCAGGCCGCCCTCCGCCCGCGCCCTCCTTGATGGACGAGAGCTGGTTTGTTACCCCTCCCGCCTGTTTTACTGCAGAGGGTCCCGGACTTGGGCCCGCCCGCCTCCAGAGCAGCCCCCTGGAGGACCTCCTCATCGAGCACCCCAGCATGTCCGTTTACGTCACCGGCAGCACCATAGTGCTGGAGCCCGGGCCCCCTTCCCCGCACCCCGACGCTGCCCTGCCTGACGGTGATCTTAGCGATGGGTGAGCCGGCCGGGGGCGGAGCCTGGAGGCCTAGAGAGGCGTATCTCGGAGGCGCGGGTCCTGCCCCGCACTGAGGGGGCGGGACCCTCAGGGGCGTCTCTTAGTGGCAAAGGGCGGGCCTATGGCCAGGGACAGGGCTGGGAGCGGGGGACTGGGGCGGGGCTCTGAGCTACTGAGAGGCGTGGCTTCGTGGCTGGGGCGGGGTTTGGGGGAGAGGCAGTTGAGAGGCTTGGGATGGGTTTGGAGGCTGGAGGAAGGAAGCCAGAGCGTCGAGGGGGTCGGGTTTCTAGAGGCTTGTACAAAAGGCAAGAAGAGCGGAGGCTTCCCTGGGGTCTGGCTTACCTGTGGCCAGGGCTAGGAGGAAGGGCCGGCGCGCTATGAATAGAGACTGGCACTGCTCCAGGCGAGGGTGCGGGGACAGGGTGGGAGGCTCCAGTGCTCTTCTCCGCCCTCCGACTGTCTGGCTCTGACCGAGCCCTGCTTTGTCCCCGCAGGGAGTTGGCGCCTGCCCGCCGAGAGACCCGGGCCCTGCACCACGCCGCCGCCCCTCTGCCGGCGCGGGCTGCGCTGCTGGAGAAGGGGGGCCAGGCGCGGCGGCTGCAGCGGGCCCGGCAGCGGGCCGAGCGCCACGCGCTGAGCGCCAAGGTGGTGCAACGGCAGAACCGCGCCCGCGAGAGCCGCCCGCGCCGCCCCAAGCACCAGGGCAGCTTCGTCTACCAGCCGTGCCAGCGCCAGTTCAACTACTGAGCGTCCGCTGGCCGCACCACAGCCCCCTCGCCGACGCCTGACCCCTGTCGGGCCCCTCCGCCGCAGCCAGTGCGCTGCTCGAGGGGCGCCCGAGGCCCGCCTCAGGCTGGACATCACAACCTTCCTCTTTCTTAAGTGTGTGAGGTGGGGTGATAGCCCCCCTCTCCCTCAATGTCCCCACCTCTGATCCTCTAATCTGCCTCTGAATCCCCCCCTGTCTTTCACCCTTCCTCCTCTGGCCGCCATGCCCAGCATCTAATCCTCCATTTCCCCTACCCCGACACTCCATTCTTCCTTCTCTGGTCCGCGTCCCGCATCCCGCATCCCGCCCTCTGCCCTGACATTCCCCTTCATCCTTGCCCCCTAGTCCTCTACCTCTGGCCCACTCCTGATTCTCAGTCTTTCTTCCAGTCCCAGATCTGGCTCATTCCCTACCTTCAACTCCCACTTTACGAGCCACACCCTATCTCATGTTTGGCACTACACTCATTCCTTCTCCCTTATTATTCATTCCCAGTAATTCCCTCCCAAATGGGGGGGGGGGGGGCGGGGGGCGGGGAGGAGAGACACTGAAACTAAAGGGTTCTGCCTTTAGTCTCCCCCTTCCCTCTCCCCTGGGGGCTGGGCTCCTTGGAGTTGCTTAGGCATGAAAAGGTGATGTACGTGGAAGAGGTCTGTGAGATGTGAGCTAGAGGGAGAAGGTGGAGGGAATCAAGGGAAAGAGACAGCCTACTGGAGAGGTAGACAGGACAGACAGGTTGAGAAGCTATAAGGAGCAGGGCACCATGGGAGCTGGCACTGTGCTTGCTCAGAGAGGCCAAACTCTGCTCTCAGGCTGAAGCCTAGAGTCTACCCCCACTTCCCTTTCCTATAATTCCACCTCCCAAATCTCTTCCTGAAATCCAACCCTCTGCAGGCCCTTGAGTCTGAAGGGCTTAGTTAGTATCTTGCTGCCCCATCCACAACATGTCATCCCAGGAGTAGAGGCTGGGCAAGGCCCTGCCATCCTGGCCATCTGTTCACATGCCCAAGGTGCTAGAACTAGCTTAGGAGAGATGCAGGTCAGAGGGCTTCTAGGCAGGGGAAGTGCACACCCCAGAGTAAGAATGCAGAGGAATGATGCTGTGGAGGTGAAGCCATCCCAAGACTGACAGCTCAGTCTTCATCTTGCTCTAGCCTTGTATTTCACACCCTGCCCAGGATGGCTAATAAACATTCTTGGGTAGGAGGCCAGGAGCCCCACTGTCCCAATCCCCAAATAGTCCTTATCCAGGTTCAGGGCCTTCAGGGGCCTCTGCTCATTTTCTCCCTCAGGGCTCTCTTCCTTTCTACGCTGTGGGAGAAATGGGTGCCCTATAGTTCCCCTCCCCTCCCCCTCCAGTAAGTACTTGGAGAAGGGAACCCGAATCCCTGGGTGAGACAGAGGGGTCGGGGCAGCCAGCTTTCCCCTTCTCATGGTGAGACTGAATTTTGGGCTCAGACACCAGCAACAGCCTCTTGGGATGCCCGGAGTTGCTTCCCTTTTCCTCTTTCTAACAGTCCTTTTCTAGTGTGTGCTCTTCTTCCCTGAAACTTTTAAGATTTCCTGTTACATACTAACATAAGTCTTCCCCCTCACCCCAATTCCAGGTTTCCAGCTGCCTTCCCTGACCCTAGAGCCCCAAGCCTCATGTGGGGTGTGTGGGCAAGGCAGGGGGTAGCCCCATGAATACTGGGATGGGGACAGAGGAAGCCCTGTTGGAGTCTCCTATGCAAGGGAGTAAGCCAAATTTACACTAAAAGCAGATCAAAGTCCCCACACCAGTCCACTAGGGTCCCAGTAGCTGACAACCTTGCTCCTCTCCCCAAGGTTCTCCTTCAGCTAGGACCTAGTCACTTTTATTCTTCCAGCCAACCCTTGGTCGTTTCACAGCCAGCTTAAGGTCTTCAGCACTTCCAAGAACTGAAACTCCCTCCAATTCTTCCTGCCTATTCCTTTACTGCCAGCTTGGGCCTAGGCTCAGTCCTGGGCAGTGCCCAGGATCCTTCTGGTGCAGGAAGAGTGAGACATAGTGCATTTGGCTCAAATTTCAAAGGGCCTCTCCCTTACCCATATTTCTGGAGTCTCCTGTAGTTCTAGAACCCTCCAATCTCATCACCAGGCTAGTTGCAAGGCTCATGTTTTTGTACTTTCCTATAGATTCTGTAGCATTGAGTGTGGCAGTATTTTAATTGTGTATAGATTTCTAAGAACCAACACTACTCAGTCTCCTGCTAGTCTGACTCCTGAAGCATCAGAACTTGTCATACTGTACTGACTGTGTATGTGCCTTTCACCTTGAGCATGCTTCAGGATATATTTTTTTAAACCACAGAACTTGAATACATGAGGGAACCAGAATTCACAAAGTCCTATGCAACCTTAGACAGGAGGGGGTTAGAGAGTCTGTCTTGACTGATGTTTTCAGAGACCCTGGAGAAGTCTGTTCCAGTTTGTGAGTATTAGTTAATGTCAATACTACCAGCACTTTGCCAAAACTGAGTATGTCAGAGGGACTCCTGTTTCTAGAAAGAGTCCCAATTACATCAAAGGGCAACTTAGAGTAATTCCCCAATCTGTCTGAGTGCTCTCTTCAAGCTGGGTGTCACTTTTCAGCCTTTGCCAGTCTGGCCCCAGCAGGGTAACACGTGTGTATGAATGCAGTTTGCTGATGTTCTGGAGTATGCCTGCTCCCCAGCCCCCACCTGGAACCCTGATGAATTTGTTCTGACCCATAATGTCTTAGGTGAAACGAGGACCCCACCAGAGCTCTTGGATGCCTCCTCAGATCCATGTGGCTTTATGTGAGGGAACTGAATGCAGACATACCTTAGCCCCTTATATTTTCCCTCTTGCCCTGCCACGTAGTTCCAAATGGAACCAACAAGTTGAGTGCATCCCTCTTGGGTGTTTTGTGTTGAGATTGGCTGAAATGAGGAGACTCTGGTTGACCGTGTTGTGACATGTCAACAGACTCAAGGACACAACCACCTCGACTTGGTCATGTGGCATGCCTGTGTATGTGTGTAACAGGATTCTGATTGTTAAACTGTAATGTTATCCTCTATGGGAGAAAAAAATTAATATAAAGAAAAATAAAAATCTATTTAAAGCACATTATGCTTTCTGTTTGAGTAGAGCTGAAGTAGAAGCATGCTGCAATGTCAAGCATAGTACTGGCATAGGGTAGTATTATTAGGCTGGCTTTGGTTCTGGTTGTGTGTGTCATACAGGGAAGGAAAAGGGTAGATAAGCTTGCTGGGAACAAAGGCAGACAATGTTGGGTCTGACTCATAAATAACTACTTTTAGAGGATCCTTATAAGACATATGTACACTAAGACAGTTGAAATAGAGATGAGAATAAGAGCATGACAGAATCACCGACTCATCCTTTTTGTCTCACGCATTGGGTTATGGCAAGGGCAGAGTCACTGCAGGGGAAGGGATGGAATATATATCCAGCTGTAGGAGACGCTGCAGAAAGCTGACGCCCAGACAAAGACAGGGCCCCAAATGTTGGAGTCCCCTGAAGTTTCGGGAGGGGAGTAGGGGCAGAAGCAGCTGGTTTGGAGACTACAAATTTTTAGGTAAGAATTGAGCCAGGAAAGGGAAAAAACCTGGTCATGTTGATGAGAAGTCACCCTTAAGCCTGATGCAGATGAGAAACAGGGCAGCCAAAGAGTGGAATATAGTGGACATCTCTGAAGTACAGAACACAAAATGACCGCTTCTATTTGGGAACTACCCCCTCTAACCACAGAACTGGACTGAAGGTGGAAAGCTGACTTAAACTGGGCTAGATTCTTGATGCTGTTACAAAGAATCTTGCTGGTCAGTCTGGGCTTATCTCCTGAATGGAGGTGTAAACACAGTTGTTTTGGAGCAACCCATCACATGCATGGAGAAGCAGAAATATGAGGTGGAAAAAAAGTGCTATTTGGGTTGCTGATGGCTTCCAGTCCCTAGAAAATCCTGGGTGGCCTTTGATCCTCTCTAAGTTGATTCTGTTATCTGCAGCAAAAGAAATTTGACTAATGTATACCAAAGTGCCCAGTAGACTGCTGAAAAGGGCTAGTTTCTTTAAAGCCAAGAATGAGTTGAGTGAACAAACGTGCATTTTTCTCAACTTGCCAGGTGCATCTCAGGTGCAATGAGGACAAGACGGGATTCTAATTCACAAAGAAGGCTGTTCCTATTCATTTATGGTCCAAAGAGCGAGCTTGCTCACCCAATGATCCCTTACCAATAACATAACGTTTATGTTCTAGGACAAAGACATTTATTTAACACATTCAGTATTTCACATTGTACAAACCCTTAGATTCTCTTTATTCACTGGTCCATTTCTACAACAAATACATCCAAAACACTATATAATAAAATTATTTACAACATTTCCAAATGAGAAGATTCCTTTTGCTCCCACTACTGCTATTCACACACAGTACTTCCACAGCACAATACATCATTAGAAGATCTAAAAATGCTCACCCTGTACTCTAGGCTGCTTAGGAAATGTGAAAACTAATAACATAATCGCATTAGCTCCTCTCAATACATGGTAACATTTTAGAAACCTTGAACTTCATCTTGCAACACCAAGGGGGTTCAACAACTCTGCTTTCCCCATTGCACTTTACGAAACAGGTTGCAGGGACTAGGAAAAGGGCCACATTGTTAAAATGACTAACTGTACAGAAATGGATTTTAAAAAGTCACAGCTCAAAATTGCTCTTTGTAAAATTCACACACATTTACAAGTATCAAGTCGCTGTCCAGCTTGTTTACTTGGACTTTCTTCGCTTGGATTGCACCGCACTGGTTATGTCTGTGGGGGAAAGGAAGGACATGTTCAGCTGAGGCAACTCCTTGCAGCAATGCCTTTTAGATAGTCCACAAGAACCACGGCTGACCTAAGGAGAGCCCTATTGGACTCTGCATCAGTCTCCAGGCCTCAGAAGGGGCACTCAGTATGGAGAGGTTATCAGGCTTCTGCGGGAAGAAGGTATGGCCCTGTACATGAGGGCCTACGATCGGGGAAATGTGATACAGGTGGTGAGAGGTGAAGTGCACATACCCGGCTGAAAAAGTGGGAGGGGAGAGCTTCTTTAGCTGGGCAGTTGACACCACAATCTCTATCACCAGTTCCTAGTACCCGATGAAATGATGGATAGACTGACAGTGCTTTTGGTGAGAAATCAAGAGTGATGGCTACCAGGAAGTGAATAAATTGTGCCAGAGTGCAAAAAACCAGCCTGTGGATCCTTTTTGAAGCCAGGCCATTGTGTTGCTGTAAGGAACTCTTTGCCATGCTACAAAGTCTCTAAATAACATGACTGCGACCCTTGGTCAAGTGTCTACTGTAGCTTAGCCCGGTATATCAAGGCTGTGGATACATGCAGGCATTGAAGCAATTCAGAGCAAGCTACAGCCAGCTCTGAGCCCAGGTGAGCCTGAGGGCTTCATGGAAGAGGTGGGAACTAAGTGTGTTTTAATTACTCTAATTCCTCTTGTATTTTCATTGTCTTAATCAACTTAATCTTATCCCGTATTTAAACCATGGTTCTCAAAAACTTTTCCACAGAAACATCTTCTGCAGCAGAGTACAAGGAATAGCTTGAAGCTCTCCAAATGTAAATATTTCCTTAAAATCTCATACTGATCTTAAAAATTCACCCTCATTCTTCCTGCTGCTCCACAGTAGATATTTTGGTTTTAATATGAAAACAGTGTTTTTTTCTTCTTCTTCTTCTCCTCAAAGCTCCCCAGTATATAGTTGTATATTCTAGTTGTGAGTGACTCTGGTTGTGCTATGTGGGATGGCACCTCAGCATGGCCTGATGAGCGGTGCCATGTCCGTGCCCAGGATTCAAACCAGTGAAACCCTGGGCCACCAAAGCGGAGAGCGTGCACGAACTTAACCACTCGGGCACAGGACCGGCCCCCACAGTGTTTTAAAATTACTTTCCATCATGGGGGCCAGCCCCGTGGCGCAGTGGTTAAGTTCGCACGTTCTGCTTCTCAGCGGCCCAGGGTTCGCCGGTTAGGATCCCAGGTGTGGACATGGCACAGCTTGGCAAGCCATGCTGTGGTAGGCGTCCCACATGTAAAGCAGAGGAAGATAGGCACCGATGTTAACTCAGGGCCAGTCTTCCTCAGCAAAAAGAGGAGGATTGGCAGTAGTTAGTTCAGGGCTAATCTTCCTCCAAAAAAAAAAAAAATTACGTCCCATTAGGAGAAAAAAATGTTTTCTAACACATTAATGTGTAAGATAAATCAGACCTATCCATTTCTGGAAACTAGGCTGAATTTTCTGATGATGCATTCTATGTTCAATGTTCTAAGCAATTTTTCTTCTCTCTTTTGTATCATAAGTATTTTGAGAGCCCAGACTCAAAATGTAGATGCAAAAAGAAAAATTTTACTGCTCTACTAGCTACAGGAATTACTAAGAAGTGAGGCCTTGATGACTTTTCAAGAAGTGACCTGTACAATGTTTCTGAGCTTCTACTAGTGGAAATTTCAATATGCTTATCTTCTTGTTGAGAGGACATACTGCTTGTGCCATGTGGTAGAATCAGTCTCTCTGATTTACTCATTAGTCTTCTGCTACTCAGAGGGTAGTTAATCTGACAGGATGTTGATAACGGTGTTCTTTATTTTAATTCCATATAAATAAACTAAGAGTCTTATACAGCCCACAACTCCCCATAATTAACTCTTTACGTCTAACTCTCAAGCTGCATTTTCACTGTAGCAAATCTGTCATTTGCAGTAAAACTATATATAGAATTTTGACTGAGAGTTCATCCTTAGAAAAATAACTGTTAATAGGTCAACTTTGGGAACTTCTCCTTTGTTGTGATAGGAAGGATCAAGTGGGCTGAGAAACACATATATGGCTGCAAAAAGAGGTGGGGAGTCGGGGGAACAAGCAACCTCAGGCTCTTCCCCCCTCCTTCCTTGCTTGTTCCCATCTGTCACTGCTCCAAAGCACCCAATAATCTGGCAGGCTGCCTCTGCTTCTGCGGATGAATCAACGAGTGGGGCCATGAGTAAACAAGTGATTTATGCTAGACACTGCAAAAAAATAATCTTTTAGATACCAGTGGGAGGTAGGAGTGGTGGTGTAGGGTGTACTTTTATATTTCTATGAGGGAAAAAACCATATCAACCTGATTTTGAAATGTCTTGTCACTTTCCCTGGATAAATCTAGCCCATCTGGGTCACAGAGCAAAGTCACTTTTGATGTCTTTATAAATATGTCTGAAAAAATGAGTTTTTTGTTTTTATGGTTCAATTTTATACTTCCTCCAAAATGTTACCACTCCACTGAACACATTGAGAATCCAGAGACAAACTCTTTAAGGTAAGGAATTCTAGGGAAGTAATATAGTGGCTGATAGAACATTCAGGGTATACTTCAGGCCTGTTCCTAAAGGCTGCCTAGCTTATCTGACTATGCATAATCCCACTCCCAAGCCCCCATAATAACACCATACTGGGAAAAAAAAATCACATATTGTTGAAAAATTCTCAGTTTTTTATTTTATTTTATTTTGAGGAAGATTAGCCCTGAGCTAACTGCTGCCAATCCTCCTCTTTTTGCTGAGGAAGACTGGCCCTGAGCTAACATCCGTGCCCATCTTCCTCTACTTTATACGTGGGACGCCTGCCACAGCATGGTGTGCCAAGCGGTGCCATGTCCTCACCCGGGATCCGAACCGGCGAACCCCAGCCCGCCGAAGCAGAACGTGTGCACTTTACCACTGTGCCACCAGGCCGGCCCCAATTCTCAGTTTTTTAAACCATCAAGGATTTTACAAATTAATGTCTTCACGGATATACAAACAGTCCAAAGACTAATAGTGTAGTTACATCATTTATATTAATATTTTAGAACAAACTATATGGTAAAGAACTGGGTCAATAGTCTTTCAGGTGGTGGTCCACGTATGTCCTTGGGGAACATTTAAATTTATAATTTGATAAGGGCATTTTTTCAGCCTGGTTGCCTCAGGTTGACTTTAAGCAAATTTGGTCAAATCTATAGTATAAGGTTCTATTAAATCTTCTAGTATCTTCCTTTACCTTCCGAGGAATTTAAAAAATTG